CATTTTAGAGTTATATATCTCCTCCAATGATTTTTATGTTTTTAACAAAGAGGCTACTTGCCTTAGAAATAGACCATTGTCTGGTGGTCTTCACTTATGAGGGGCATGCATGGAAAATACAAAGCTAAATCATAACTGATCTACACTTGCAGTACAGTTGCTCTCATTAACATTTATGGTTTGTTTTAAAGGTAACACCTCTGACTCTGAACGTTTGGGAAAAAACATTCTCCCTCTTTTTTGTCCTGATCCATTTATATAAAAACCATAAAATGAGATCTGAAAAATCTGATTTTGCCACTTTGTGCCAAATATTTTTGGGGTTGTGTATTAGCCAATCACCAACTGAGGTATGCTGCAATGATCTGTTTGGTGTTTCAGACAAACACTTGAGATACATGTTTATATATCTGAGACCTATAATATATTGTAGATAAAGAGTATAATAGGAGACCTTTAAGTGAATTGACCTAATTAATTATGCACTTTATATATTTACTCTTTTTTATTTTAATGTTGTTGACCCTACTTTTGTATTTTACTAAATGTCTTGTACTGATATTCTATTTAAAACTGTTTTACGTGTTACTTCCTACACCCTTAATTTGCATTACATGTCTCAGAATGAATAAAGCTCTATCTTGTAGTATTTATTCTGCGTACACACTGGTTGTACGAAGACAGAGACAGAAACATAACGAACAGTAAGCCTGGGATACTCACACACACACACGCACACGCACACACAGTATTTGGTAAAACTACGTCATGTGGAATATTCCTGAAGTTGAAACACAGTGAGTGAATGATGATGGGTTCAGGTCCCTGGGACTCCGCAGGATCAGCCCCTACCTGTTTGTATGCGTCCAGCAGGAAGCTGTTCCAGATGGAGCGCAGCCCCGCGGAGGTCAGCATGCGGGGCCGCTCTCCGGAGCCCGCGGGGCGCGAGCAGCTGAGCAGCGACACCACGCGCTTCACCAGCACCACGGAGTCATAGAGTGCGAGGAACAGACAGTTGGAGAAGAAGCCGGGCAGTATCTGGAGGGTCACCAGCAGATCCTCACTCGCCATGCCCATTGTGTCTTCCTGCGTGTATCCGACCGCAGCACAACTATTGCAGCGCGCCCTGCATGCCTCCAGCGGCGCGAGGCTCCGTGCGCGCTCAGAGTTTATGGAAAGCCATTTGCGCCACTATTCGCGCATTTATTCGCGCGAATTAACGGGCAGGTCCGTTTAAGTTCAAAGTTTCAGTAACCAATCAGTGAAGAGCAAAGCCAGACCAAAGCAATCTGTAGATGAAAAGTTCCTGACATTGCGAGGCTGTAAATTGTACGTTATTCCAGATTCAGGGGACTATGTATTAATTTGCCTTTCAATATAATAAATATATCAATCAATATAACCTGCCTTCATTGTCTTTTAAAATAAAATCGCCTTACCTTACCTTATCTTACTGAAGTGAAGGGTATTTATGTCTCCTTATATCACCTTTTAAATGTACTTCTTATAACATGGTTTTGCATCTCAAAATGTTCAGTCTCTTGTCTTGCTAGAAATGCAATGTCACTCACCTTAGAGCACTGTCTTATGAGATACTTAGCTTAGAAATCAGATTTTCGGAAAACTTAAAAACTCTTGTGAAAACACAGATGTACTCATGTCATCCATTTTTTTTGGTGTTTCAGATTTGGTTTACCAACGTTTTTGGTTCACAAACGTAATGAAATATATGAATTACACTATAGGCCTATACAAATGTGTTGTTCATGTCTAAAATGAAAATGTGTAAATTAAGAATTTGGAGTAAAATAGTTCTATCACTCTACTTTCACCACAGAAAAGTTACATCAGGACTGATTCATGACTTAATATTCCATACTGAGGTTCATGTGATGTGTACAAATACAAATTGAGCATTACAACTTTTTTTTTCAAACAACTATTTATGTTAACATACGAAACTGTAAAATCTCAATATTTACAATACAGGGTTCATACACTTTTTCACCAATGATTTTCAATGACTTTTCCATGACCAGAAAAAATGACTCTTTCATGTGGCTAGCATGCGCTGCCTCGCCCATATTCGAAATATCGAATATGTTACAACACAGTTTGCATTTAGCACGTCTTGGGTCAATGTCTTTTGATAACCACAATTGGTACTTATCCTTTAGAAGCCATACATTGTTGAAACTGCACTTCCCTGGCATCTTGGCAGCTTTATATCAAATAGTAGCTCCTGTACACTAGAGGGCGTGATTGTAAACATCTCTCACCAGCGAAATACTGCCACAGTTTCCATTTTACGTTTCATTATACGATACAGTATTTATTATCATTATAGTATTACTATGTTGGCGATTAGATAACATATAAATTATATTTGATGCAACTTTAGTTATATTTCCATGACTTTTCCAAAACTTTGGGAAAAATATTGCATTCCATGACTTTTCCAGGTTTTTAATGACCGTACAAACCCTGACAATATCAGAACTTTCTCAACCAACTATTCATTATAAATGTAAAGACAGGGGGAGCAGTGCCATGGTCTTTGTCTGTCTTCCAAGACAGTGGGTCTGGCTGCTGTGTGTATAGGTGGGGGTGATGGTGCATGGGCTGCTGGTGGCTGTGTCGGTGGGAGGGAGGTGTGCTTGGCGAGACTTCTTTGCTGGCTGGGTTGATCGTGATGGCTGTGGTGGTGGCCTTTGTACTGAGGTGTATCTTAATCTTGTGGCAGGCACAGATGGAGGTGGAGGCTGCTGTAGTGATGCTGGTCCTCTGGTCCTTGGTGGTGATGGCTCTGGTGAAGGCCCTTGAGCCACGGTAGATCTTGACCTGGGTGCAGGCACAGATGGAGGTTCTTGCTGCTAGGCCCAGGCAGCTATGAAATCGGAAAGAAATATAGGACAATAATTACTACTAAGTTCATTAAAATATAAAGTTCAAGTGGAATGTTTCTCAAGCACAAATAACAATGCACAACTCAAAATAAAATGGGGAGGTGGGACAGGAGTCTCTCTCTCTTACAACCTATTTAACTAAACTCACACAATGAAAGTACACTATTACTGTAATATTTACATTTACCTATCTTCAAATGGATCCTTGTTGTTGTTGCTGTATTCTCCAGGTTCTGATGCTCCATCTCCACTGCTGCTAGTGTTACAAGTCCGCTGTTCAGAGCTGGTAATCAGATAATAAGCCTGTTGAACAGGAGACAAGAATGAAGCAGAGGGAAAGTTGCTGCCATTTGTGTGGTTGTCCTAGCCAGAATTTATTAAACACATTAATAAATTCACTTACAAATTATATCAATTTTCTCTATTTATCTAATCATTCTCTGGTTTGACGCCACATGTATTTCTGCGTTGTGTTGTGTGGTCGAATGAATATGACTTCCTTCTTGCCAACCAGCTTTATTATCTGTGCAAACAGAATATAAGGAAATGGCTTCACCAGCTTTCTACCTCAATACTTCTCCTCAGTGAGGCCTGAAGCTAACTGAGAATGTAAAAATACATTTAGCCAATCAAAATAACTGTATGTCTGACATATTTCGTTTTCTAATAAAATATGGACATAAATCCACATGCCATATTATGACTTTCATGAAGGATTAAAGCCTTTTTAATTTACAGTATATAATACAGTGATAACAGATAACACAACCCGACTGTACTCACTTTAACATGGCTGTTGTACAGGCACAATATTAGCATAGCATTAGCGCTTTAGCATTTAAATAATATGAACAATTATGACCTCAGACCAGCATTTCATATATTTATACAAACAGAATAAACTTGAAATGTAAGCCAGACTAGTGCACAGGACTCATTACACATAGTAACATAGTAGAGCCCTACATTATTCAGGGTGCAACAGCCTGTGTTAAAGAAGCTAGCGGACGCCATTAGCCACACGCTAGTGGTGTAGCTCACAGAATGACATTAAACTACACATAAAACAGTTTCAAACACACTTCTTAGATCGAAATATGACATAATCTGTGTTCACACTACTAACCTGTTGAACAGGAGAAATGAATGAAGCAGAGGGACTGCCATGTGTCTGTCTCTTCTTCTTCTTCTTCTTCTTCTTCTTCTTCTTCTTCTTCTTCTTCTTCTTCTTCTTCTTCTTCTTCTTCTTCTTCTTCTTCTTCTTCTTCTTCTTCTTCTTCTTCTTCTTCTTCTTCTTCTTCTTCTTCTTCTTCTTCTTCTTCTTCTTCTTCTTCTTCTTCTTTCTCGCAGACTCTCACAACAACACACGTCACCAAGATGGTCGTCACTACTGTCTTGTGATCGACCTCACTATCAACACAATGAAACACGTCCAGAAGAATGTCATGCAAAGCTGCCTGCCTTCCTTTGATTCTCTCTGAACTGCCTGATCTTTTCAATGTTTAATGTCAACCATTTGTGCAGATAGCATGAAGTAGAACAGATCGCCGGTGCTAATGTAGCGTTAGCGTTAGCATTTCTCCCCCGGGCTTAAATGGTGTATTATAGAATGATCACACCGGTGACAGTACTCTTCAAAGGGTTCACGAAATATGACTACTACTCTTACTGTTTAACGTTTTGGGTTAGGCTACTTGATGTTACTTCATGTTAAGGCTAATACAAATGACAAGGCTAAGACTGCAATGCTAACTAACGTGCTTGCTACTAGCTAGGTAGCTAACTTGATCCAGCCACTCCTGGTCCTTTCATCAGACGCGAAGCGAAAGAACGAGCAAGACCCATTGCTGGTATGATTACAGCCTGGTACTAAGCACACAGGCATCTTGTTAAAGTTATCTTATCTTAGCTATCTCTTATATTTAGCGGAGGAAACAATTGTGACATCAGTTATGACATCATTTACTGGGATTTGTAGTCTTTCTAGTTGCGTATTTTTCATAGTCTTATATTTAAACAGTTTTACGACAAACTGTGACTTTTTTTTTACATGGAAATTATTTTTTAAGATTGACAAACATCATATGTGTAATTCATGCCACAATTTAAACGGGATCGAAAGATAATCTTTCTCTCTCCATTGACTTCAATACAAACTTTTCCCGAAATAAGGTCCCATGAGTCCCACCGGAAGGGGAGGGACTTCGCCTCGTTTACTTTTTTCGTTGTCTACTAAACCGGAAGCTAAACAAATGGGCTGGGCAGCACAAGGTAAATAAATAGAATAGGATAGGATAGGATAGGATAGGATAGGATAGGATAGGATAGGATAGGATAGGATAGGATAGGATAGGATAGGATAGGATAGGATAGGATAGGATAGGATAGGATAGGATAGGATAGGATAAAGAAGAAGAAGAAGAAACCGTTTCTTATTTATAGAAACAATAAAATCATCGAAAAATGTCCACGAGAAACTTCATCTTGCGTTGCAAAAGGACAATAAATGACTGCACAAGACTTCTCCAAACTTGCTGGTCATGCTGTGTTACAATCCACAATAGTGAAGTAAGGAAGGGCCCAGCCTATCGCTACTATCGAACACAAAGGAATGTAGTTTGTTTTTGCATGTAACTTACTGAGGGGCTGTGAGATTTTTCACACTTACAAATTCTGTCTTCTTCCCTATTTCACCAAACCGTTTACTGGCAGGTTAGAAACAATGGAGAGGAGCCTCGAGTGGTCACGGGGCAGGATGATTAACGTCCCTACAGCTGATCTTTTACTTCAGGACCTTCGGGAATATATAGTTGAAGTCCGGAGATCTTGGCCTACCACAACCGCACAACAAGGTAGGCCAATGTGATACTTTTTCACTTTAGGATAGGCTATCGTTGAGAAACCAGTGTTAGTATTGTTGAGTAGTAAGTGGCCAACAGGCCAATACATTTTAACCCTCCTATTGTGGTCGTCGTCGTCCCGTCCCCCCTTACTTTGGTGTTCGTGACCGGTCCTGTTTTAACTGCTATTACATTAACACAAAAACCATTAATCATCACCACATTTAATTTAATACCCTTCCAAACTGTAGATATTGTATCAGACTACTGGTATACATGCAGTAAATATATAAAGGATAGACACCTAAGGGGATCGGCACATAAGAGTGGGGACACATCTACAGTGTGTGTGTGTTTGTGTTTTATCTGATCCGGATGGTTACAAATTCCTTTTCTTTATGGCGGTCATTTGAGTAAATCATCCAAAATGCAATGAAAGTGGTGATCAGCAATTGTATATGTTCAAATGTCTACTGTGAAGGATATCATAAAGCCTTAATGCAATCGAATGTAAAACTAAAAAGTTATGATTGATGAAAGTAGTACATCGGTCAGATTTGACCCGAAGACAACAGGAGGGTTAAAGTATTTATTTGTTATTAAAATATCGGTAATACCAATATAAAAACGTTTTTAATCTGTAGTTGCCAGCTATTAATTAGCACATTCTAGTGAGACGCTGAGTCTGGAGTTGTCCACTGAAACCTTAAAACTTGACTCCAAATTCCACCTTTATCTCCTGCTGCACTAGACGCTATTCCCCCTCCCCTATCGTGGGCAGTCTGGCCAGCTCTCATTGTAGTACACACCACGTATCATCAAACGTGTGAATGAGGACATTGGAAGTGTGCCAGAGGGGGGAGTCTCTGTCTTCAGGGTTTGACTGCAACTATGTATCTCTATGCCCATCCACATTTTATGTTTTTGTTCATACTGTATACTACAACTATAGTGTGTTGCATGTCCACTGGTTTAATGCCAAACTGCATTTCCTTTTCATCGTAACTTTTGGCTGGGCAATGACACTAAAGTGTGGGTTTCCGGCACAACGACAGAAATGCAACAATGACAATAAATGTAATCTAGTCTTTTGCTGTTGTTGCAGGTCATTCTGGCTACCACGCCCCGCTCATTCTGTTGGGTGGCCGAGGTCCCCCACAATACAGCATTTCGAGAGAGCAACTCTCTTTTTTGAGGAGCTGTGGTTTTACAGCTACAAAGATGGCACAGATATTAAAAGTATCTCTGCGCACAGTGACACGGCGATTGAGGTATGTAGCAATGTCTTCAACATTGGAATGGGCTTCTTGTCTCAATTTATTGTAAACATCCCAAGGAGGGGTTGTAGCCATGTTACACTATGCATGTTGTAAAGTAAATCTGAATACCGTAGGTCTCACATATTTTTAAAACATGTTTATTTTTCAGGCGGTTCCACATGCTGCGCTCTGGGATATACTCCACCATCTCAGATGCTGCACTAGACGACCTCATCAAGGAGATAGTAGCTGGGAATAACCAGATTGGCCCTGAATCTGTCAGGGCACAGCTGCAGGCCCAGCAGTTGTGGATACAGAGAAGCAGAGTGCGGGACAGCATGAGGCGGATAAACCCAGAAGCAGCTGCACTACGGGCAATGTCACAGAGACTGCACCGTAGAGCATACCGGGTCGCCGGACCAAACTCCTTATGGCACCTAGATGGAAACCACAAATTAATAAGGTAAATATGACCAATACCAGACTTGAAAGATGGATACTTTCTATCAGTAGGCCACAAAACCCAAACTCCTGTGTAAGAGCCATTTAGGCACATTATTTTATGGTAATGAATGATGGTTTTGTGAGCCAATTGAATATTCTTTAATTTAACTTAAATGAGCTGAATAACTATGAATTATTATTATACTGTTTTTGTAACGTGTCATCTTGCTTATGGACAGCTCTAGTTTATGTTTTGTTATTATTTATACAAAGTAATAGTAGGGGCGTGCTCAGGTATAAATGACGCTGCCAGCATGACACAGCAGGAAGTCTAGAGAGGCAGTTGGAAAAAGTTTTTGACCGCACACATCCGTATGACTGAGGGATCTTGTTTGTTTATTTGTTTAAATACCGTGCAAACGTTGCACGTCGGCAGTGGGCCGCCAGCTGATCTATTGAACCTCTCAATAAAGCACCTGAATGGAACGAGCAAGGTATCTGATTTTTTTAATATAAGCGAGTCAATACTCGAGCTCGCCTCCTAGACTAAGTGGCCTTTGAACATGGATTTTCTTTGGACAATTGGCCACTACATTAAGTCAAAAACGAACCGACAACGTCGTGAGGATTACTAGCGTGTAGGAACCTACAATCACTGGAATTGTCGGATGTGGATCTGATCGTCACTACTGGAGCTGCGGCAGAAACGAAGTGGATCTGATCGTGGCTACTTGAGCAAAGGACCATTTGGATTATCCTCTACCGTGTGGACATGGACTGCAGGCTGTCACGCTACTCTGCATGCCTTTCCGTTGGAGTTCGAGCCACTTGGTAAAACAGCTGTTGTCTTTTGTTCAGCCAAACCAGCTGAATAATGTCGGAGGACAGCGCCACTGTGGGTGCGTTTACGGTCGACGCCCACAAGAGGGCAGCAAAATCAACAGAAAAGGCCATGGAGCAGCAGCTACAGCTCTGCATCAATGCAAGGAGAGGTAAATTAAGACAACTCACTGCCAAAATGAATGAAGTTGAGCCTTTAATGGGCAACACCTGTAACTTGATGGAAGTTATCTCAAAGATGAGACTTTTCAAGGTAATCTTTGAAGAGTTTAAAGACTGTAACTGCTCAGTTGTGCTTTTTATGGACGAAGAAGAAAAGAGCCATGATCAAGAGAGCTGGTTTGAGCCTAAATCTCAGAGGTTTCAGGACTTTATTAAAGAATCTGATGTGTGGATTAATTGTGAGGAGCATTGCAAAGAAATACCACAAGCCTGCATTGATGATGTTTCTCATATGGACAGTGTATCTGTGGTGTCAAGATCCAGTAGAGCTAGCAGGGCTTCATCCGCTTCAATAGCATCCTCAGCACGATTAAGAGAGGAAGTAAAGCGTGCAGCTTTGGAAGCCAAGGCTGCCTCGCTAAAGCAAAGTCAAGCCTTGGCAGTTAAGGAGGCACATCTTCGGGCTGAGAAAGAAGAGCTGAAAATGAAAACAGCTTTAGCAGCGTCAAATGCTAAAATTAAAATGTATGAAGAGTATGACGCACAGGATAAGAGTGATGCAATGAACACGTATTTGGACAATGCAAAGACACGGCAGAAAGAAGACACACAAGAGCAAGCAGGACACAGCCATCCACTAATCCCAAGCAGTCATGTAAACCCATCAGATAGGTCTATTTCAGCACCTGGAGCTAGACCTAAAGCACCAAAGGCTCTGGACTCAAGTACATTAGCCAGTGGGGCACATCAGCGACAAAGTGACTATGAAAAGGACATATATGCAAAGTAATCAAGAAGCAGACTGATATAACAGAAATGCTTGTGAAACATCAGCAGCTCACCCTTCTCCCACAGCGTGATATTCCTGTTTTTTATGGTGACTTGCTCGACTTCAGATCTTTTCTTAAGGCATTCCAACACACAGTCAGCTCCAGAACAGACAATGCTGCAGATAAGATGTACTTCCTGGAACAGTATACAAGAGGTGATCCCAAAGACATTGTAAAAAGCTGCCAGCATATGCCCCCCGACCGTGGTTTTCAGAGAGCCATGGACATGTTGGAAGACCGCTACGGCAACCCACTGAAGATTGCCACCGCTTTGATGGAAAAGGTGCTAAAATGGTCGCAAATAAAACCAGAGGACTCACAAGCACTCAACAAGTTTTCCCTATTCCTTTTAAATTGCAGAAACGCCCTGGAGGATGTGAATTACATGGAGGAGCTGGATAACCCTACAAATATGAGAGTTATCGTCTCGAAGTTACCCTATAAATTCATAGAAAGATGGAAGGTGCTGGCATTCAAGATCCAAGAAAGGAGCCAGAGAAGAGTGAGATTCAAAGACTTGGTCGACTTTGTGGATAAACAAGCCAAAATCCTGGCTGACCCTCTCTTTGGTGACCTGCAGGGATCTGCTGCCGAAGCGAAAAGCAGGAACGTTTTACAAATGGAGAAAAATACCAGGAGTGAAAGGATTAAAGGAAGCATCTTTGCAACCAGTGTGGCCACATCAACAGAGGAAGATAATTGCAAACCACTGACAGTAAATAGCAGGACGTCAAGTAATGTTGCCTTCATGAAGCCATGTTTGTTCTGCAAAAAGGACCACGCACTATTGGAGTGCCATCAGATTGCAGAACAACCTCATAAAGACAAGGTGGACTTTATATGAAAATCTGGACTATGTTTTGGATGCCTAGTTAAAGGGCACGTGAGTAAAGACTGCAAAAAGAGAATGACATGCCAAACATGTTCAGAAAGACACCCAAGCTTGCTACACATTCATAGAATAGACAATGTTTCCAATCATGCACGTGCAGAAAGCCAAGACGTGGCCAGGTCAGACAACACAGTAGTTTCAAGTGCACTGGTGAGCTTAAACCAGGAGACTACTACCTGTGAAGGGGCCGGAGATAGATGTGTTCTTGCGATTCTTCCGGTCTACATCAAAGCAAAGACAGGAAGCAAGCTTGTGAAAACCTACGCCTTCGTGGACCCTGGGAGCTCTGCAACATTTTGCACAGACTCTTTAGCAAGGCAGCTAAACCTGCAGGGAAAAGGAGCGCAGCTTGTCCTAACAACAATGAGCTCAACCAAACAAGTGAAAAGTTCTCTGCTGAGAGATTTGGAGGTCTGTGGAATCAAAGAAGATAAGTTTATCAGCTTAAAAAAGGTTTTCACGCAAAAGAGCATCCCAGTAACAAAGGATCATATTCCTCTTCAGAAAGACATTGAAAAATGGCCACACCTTCAGGAAGTAGAGCTGCCGTGCATCGCTGCTGAGATAGGACTCCTAATTGGAAATGACGTGTATGAAGCTTTCGAGTCATGGAAAGTCATTCACAGTCAGAACAACGGCCCATATGCCGTAAAGACGGTCCTTGGCTGGACTATTAATGGCCCACGTAAAGAACAAGGCAGTGAGCCAGAGGACGGTGAGCAGCACCAAGTCACAATCAACCGGATTGCAGTAGAGACTGTGGAAAGGCTTCTCATACAGCAATACAATGCAGACTTTCCTGAGCATTGCTACAGCGACAAACTGGAAATGTCACGAGAAGACAACAAATTCATCAGCTCTGTGTCCAGCTCAATCCATCATGCTGAAGGACATTATTACATCAATCTACCTACAAAGACATCATTGGTCAGCTTGCCAAACAATAAGTATGCTGCAGTGCAGAGAGCAATTAACCTAAAGAAGAGACTCACCAAAAAAACAGAATTTCACCAGGAATACACAGACTGTATTAGTGACCTGCTAAACAAGGGATATGCAGTCAAAATGCCAGAGACACAACTGAGCCGGCAAGACGACAGAGTGTGGTATATCCCACACCATGGTGTGTACCACCCACAAAAGAAAAAACTCCGGGTGGTCTTTGACTGTGCCGCAAGTTTCCATGGAACTTCAATCAATAACGAATTGCTTCAGGGTCCTGACCTTACAAGCTCCCTCATCGGAGTCCTGACACGTTTTAGACAAGAGCATGTTGCAATGATGGCAGACATAGAAGCCATGTACCACCAAGTCAGAGTCCCAGAAGAGGATACAGACCTCCTACGCTTTTTGTGGTGGCCTAATGGAGACCTCACACAAGAAATGGTTGATTACAAAATGGTTGTACACATTTTCGGCGCCACCTCGTCTGCCAGCTGTGCTAACTTTGCCTTAAGAAGAGCAGCAGAAGAAAACAGGACTGCGGCATCAACTCAGGCCGTAGAGACAGTTCTAAGGAACTTCTACCTTGATGACTGTTTAAAGTCGGTCAGTAGTGACTCTGAAGCCATTGCCCTGAGCAAAGACCTCATGTCCTTGTGCACCTCAGGAGGCTTTCACCTTACCAAATGGACAAGCAATAGCCGAGCCCTCTTGAAAACTATTCCAGAGAGTGAAAGAGCCAAGGAAGTAAAATACCTAGATCTGGCTAAAGAGGCCCTGCCTGTCGAAAGAGCACTCGGCGTCCTTTGGTGCATAGAATCAGATTCATTCAAGTTCAGAGTCAACATCAGCCTGAGAGCAGCCACAAGAAGAGGAGTGTTGTCAGTGGTAAGCTCCATCTCTTCTATCACCTCAGGAACATCTCCCGTCTACGACCATCACTCTCTGATTCCGTGGCCGAGACCCTCATTCATGCATTCGTCTCCTCCCGGTTGGATTACTGCAACGGAGTCCTATTCGGGGTTCCCAGTAAAGCCCTGGACAGGCTCCAGTATGTGCAGAACTCGGCTGCCAGGGTGCTCACTCACACCAAGCCCTGGCAGCACATCACCCCCACCCTGATCCACCTCCACTGGCTCCCAGTCAAGCACTGTATCACCTATAAACTCCTTCTTTTGACTTACAAATCCCTCCATGCCCTCGCCCCCCAATACCTGTCTGACCTTCTCCGCTACCACACTCCATCCCGGAAGCTAAGATCATCTGGACAGGATCTCCTCTCCACCCCCCGCACCAGGTTGCGGACTTTTGGTGACAGAGCCTTCAGTGTGGCATCCCCCACCCTCTGGAACTCTCTCCCCCCCGAAATCCGCAGCGCCCCAACCCTGGACATTTTCAAAAAAGCCCTCAAAACGCACCTTTTTACCAAGGCTTTCGCCACTGTATAGTTAGTTTAATAGGTTTATTTTTCCGCTACTTCCCCCCCCACCCCCTTAACCTGTCTGCCTTTTTTTTCCCTACTACCCCCCCCCTACCCGACTTGTAAAGCGACCTTGGGTTTCCTGAAAGGCGCTATAAAAATATTATATATTATTATTATTATTATGACCCACTAGGATTCCTTGCCCCAGTTGTGCTCCCAGCTAAGATCTTTCTCCAGCAACTATGCAAGGAAAAGCTTACATGGGATGAGGACATTCCTGATGGGCTTGCACAATACTGGAGCACCTGGTTAAGCCAACTACCACAGCTTTCCAACTTTTTAGTTAGGAGGTGCATCAAGCCTGAGGGATTTGGAAGTATTGCTACTGCACAGCTACACCACTTCTCAGATGCCAGTGAGAGTGGTTATGGATCGGTGTCATTCCTGAAGCTGAAAAACAAGGAAGGCCTTGTGCATTGTGCCTTTATGATGGGAAAGGCAAGGGTCGCTCCACTAAAGCAAACTACCATCCCACGTATGGAGTTAACTGCTGCCCTACTAGCTGTAAAGATGGACAGACTTCTCAGAAAGGAGCTCCAGTTAGAACTACAAGAATCAGTGTTTTGGATCGACAGTACTGCAGTCTTGAAGTACATAGCAAATGAGGCCCTACGTCTAAAGACCTTCGTGGCCAATAGGGTTGCTGTAATACATGAAGAAACAAAGGTGGATCAATGGAGGTACATCAACACCGCAGAAAATCCAACTGACTGTGCCTCTCGTGGTATCACAGCAGAGCAGTTTGTGGCCAGACAGAGTTGGATGGAAGGACCAGCGATCCTAAAAGACCCAGACTACAAATGGCCTGAAAAACAGGACAGTGTAAAACTCCCTGAGGAGGACAATGAGGTGAGAAAACCTGTCTTCATGCACCGTATAGACGTTGTTGAAGGCATGGACGCATTGGACAAGCTAATGCTCTACTATTCAAGCTGGTATCGTCTGAAAAGAGCCATCGCATGGATGCTCAGACTAAGAAAAGGTCTCCTGATTCTAGGTAAAATACGTCAAGAATTGGAGGTGCGTATCCACAAAGACGACGAAGATTCAAACGGGCAAAGGGCCAAAAAGAAAAAGAAAACGCAGCAGTATGAAGGCACCTTAAGCATGGGGCTCCTTACTGTGGAGGACTTAAACGAATCAGAGATGGAAATAATCCGCTACTGTCAACGCCGCAGTTTCCCGGCAGAGATTTCTGCTCTAAAAAACGAAAAAACACTGGTCAAAGGTAATAGTCCCATTCGGAGACCCAGTGCTGCTGGATGGCGTTCTGAGAGTTGGAGGTCGACTCAGTAAATCTGCTATGCCCGAAGAATCAAAGCACCCCATAATCATGCCCAACAACATGCATCCTACAACGCTGCTTCTGCAAGATATACACGAAAGAGTCGGACATTCAGGAAGAAACTACATGCTTTCCCGTCTGCGCCAGAGATTTTGGATTCCTGCTGCAAATTCAGCAGTAAGAAAAATCCTGTCTAGGTGTGTGACATGCAAAAAATTACAGGCAAAGAGTCAAGGACAAAAGATGGCAGATTTACCTTCAGACAGACTGCTTCCAAACAAACCACCCTTCACCAATGTAGGTGTGGATTATTGTGGGCCTATAGAGGTCAAAAGAGGTCGCAGCATCTTTAAAAGATATGGAGTATTGTTTACATGTATGACTACCCGAGCCATACACTTAGAGGTTGCTCACACACTTGACACAGACTCCTGTATAAATGCTCTGCGTCGCTTCATGTGCAGAAGGGGCCAAGTGTCGCTTATGAGATCCGACAACGGCACCAACCTAGTCAGCGCAGACAAAGAATTACGGGCAGCTATGCAGCAGTGGAATCAAGCCAAAATGCAGGAAGCTCTTGCTCAGAAAGGAATCCAGTGGATTTTCAACCCTCCTGCTGGACCTCACTTCGGTGGAGTATGGGAGAGGCAGGTAAAATCCGTAAAGAAGGTCTTAAAGTCTGTCCTTCATGAGCAAACAATTGACGACGAGTGTCTCCAGACTGTGTTGTGTGAAGTTGAGGCCATACTTAATGACAGACCTTTAACCACATCATCTGATGACCCAAATAACATTGAACCGCTGACGCCAAATCATCTGCTGTTATTAAAGAAACAGCCATTGCTTCCTCCAGGACTGAGCTGCAAGGATGACTGCTACACACGTCGCAGATGGAAGCAGACGCAGTACATATCAGACCTGTTCTGGAAAAGGTGGGTGAGTGAGTACCTGCCTGACCTACAGGAGCGTCAAAAATGGACTAAAGTGAAGCAGAATCTAGCACCAGGGCACATTGTCATGATCCTGGACGACAACGCCCCTCGGAGCTCGTGGCTTCTGGGAAGAGTCGTGCAGACCATCACAGACTCTAAAGGACTGGTTCGTAGAGTACTGGTTAAAACAAAATCCAGTACTTTGGAGAGGCCTGTGGAAAGACTTTGCCTCATTTGTGAATAGGACACTTGATTTTGCCTTTAAAAATATATATATAAAAAAAATATACATAAAATATGTATATTTAGTTTGTTTATGGAAAACCTATGTCAAGGGGTGTAGGTGAATTCCTCCCCCAAAAGTAAATGCAAACGTTGTTTGTTAGGAGTATAATTGAGCTATTATTAGCCATATGTTTGTTTGGAAATGACTCTTGTTATTATTATTAATTATAAGTCTTCCCGCCTTATAATTAGGGGCCGGAATTGTAAGAGCCATTTAGGCACATTATTTTATGGTAATGAATGATGGTTTTGTGAGCCAATTGAATATTCTTTAATTTAACTTAAATGAGCTGAATAACTATGAATTATTATTATACTGTTTTTGTAACGTGTCATCTTGCTTATGGACAGCTCTAGTTTATGTTTTGTTATTATTTATAAAAAGCAATCGTAGGAGAGTGCTCAGGTATAAATGACGCTGCCAGCATGACACAGCAGGAAGTCTAGAGAGGCAGTTGGAAAAAGTTTTTGAACGTACACATCCGTATGACCGAGGGATCTTGTTTGTTTATTTGTTTAAATACCGTGCAAATGTTGCACGTCGGCAGTGGGCCGCCAGCTGATCTATTGAACCTCTCAATAAAGCACCTGAATGGAACGAGCAAGGTATCTGATTGTTTGAATATACGCGAGTCAATACTCGAGCTCGCCTCCTAGACTAAGTGGCCTTTGAACATGGATTTTCTTTGGACAATTGGCCACTACATCCTGCTTCAGTTTATGTATTGTGCATCAAACTAGTTATACTTTTCATGTTTTTGTTTCAGGTGGAGGATTGTCATTCTTCGGCTGGTCGTCTTCCTCTGGGCCTCAGACAACAACAGGAGCACTACCGTGATGGCGAGCTTCATGGACGCGGTGGCCAAGTATGGTGTGCCCTCGAGGGTCAGAACCGACCATGGGGGCAGAAAACAAATCTGTCTGCCTAATGATGAGCATCTTCAGAGGCTCTCACAGAGGCAGTGCTCTCCGTGGAAGAAGCACCCACAACCAGAGAATAGAACGGCTCTGGGGTGACCTGTGGCGAGGTGTGAGCAATGTCTATTACGACCTCTTCAACTTCCTGGAGAGTGAAGGCATAATAGACATAGACAATGAAATGCACATGTGGGCCCTGCATTATGTCTATCTCCCGCGCATAAACCATGACCTACGGGGTTTTTTGGACCAGTGGAACAATCATGGGTTGAGGACCGAAAGACACCAGAGTCCCATACAAGTTTTTGTCCAAGGTTGCCTGGAACGGCAGGGCCAGACCACTTCTGCCATGCAGAGCCTCTTTGGTGGAGGACAAGGAGATGCTCAGGAGGAGCCAGAAAGAGAGGGTGGAGCTGATGATGGGGATGTTGCATTGGACTGGCCAGAGAGGGTCACCGTACCTCGAAACCAGCACCTGCTAAGCGATGAGGACATGGAGCAACTCACCGCACAGTTTGATCCTCTTGCTGGTCGTAGAGGAGATCTTGGACTGGACGTCATCCAAAATATACTGTCATTCATGGCAACATTGAATGTTGTCTGATTTTGTCACGGACATGACACATATTTCACAACGGCTCCTCCGCAGGCTGTTCTTTGCCCTTTGAACTCACACTAATTGCCTTTTTTAAAACTACTACTTTGCACAATTTTCTAGTGAGTATATGTGTGTACCTACCTTTGTTTTTATGTTGTAGTATTCAAGTGCATTTTCCTTAAATAAATTACTTTGTTTAAACAATGGTCTCTGTCATTGATGTTGTGCAGTTACTAGCCCTGCTTGTGGCCTGCACTTTGCCACGGTGACTGGGCTTTATATAGTCATCCATTGGGATGTGTTTTCGACAAATAACAGACCAGACCTCATGGGGAAATTCAATAATAGCCACTAAATGTTTTTTTAAAGAAAAACATAATGTGTTGACATTGATATATTACAAAATATATCCCTGTTCATTAGTGCCACGGTACATAAGCACATACTGTAGGAAAGCAACAAATGCACATATGCATTGCTGCCTGAGAACATGCACAGCTTGAAATGCTATTAATATCTGCATGAAGTTTAAAAAATGCTCTTGCTTCTTTTACTAATTACAATGCTTTTCAACATGTATCTATCCATTTTCATTCAGTCTTCATACGCGATGCTGTTTCTTGGTGAGCTTGACAGTAATTCTTGACTCCAATGAGGTGAAGAGGCTACAATTAAGTTTATAATGTAATCTCTGGATGTTCTCAGACATCTAGGATATGTTCTTGTGAGTACCTGGGCATAATGTAATAAAATATTCCGACTGACTAATTGTGATACCACTTTTACCTACTGATAATCTAAAACCTAGCAACGGATAATCTAAAATTCTCGTGAAAATATAATGCATCATTGGGAATTGATCACGTTTTCAGGTTCGTTTATTTTTTGTTTTTAAACTGATAAAGTTATACATTTGGTGTTCTAAGACCTGGGATGTATGTCATACATGTATGCCATGGCATACATTCAGCTAAACTGAAAATATCTCCATCATAGCTACACACTGTGTTGAGGTTTGATCACATGGCATGGTACAGTATGAATTTCACAGCATAAATTCCTGCTGAATCCTGTAGGATATTAGAAAGACTTTGATATTATACAGCTAAAAATGTTTTGTATTGATCAGTCTGTTACAAATGTGAGCATTGCTATATTCAATTGTATCTCATTACTCTGAAAAAATACTATGATTTTAGTGTCATCACACATACTTCTCAACATTCAGGTTCACTGACATAAGCCGTGAATATTAACACACATTACAGGCATGTAGGCAAAGAATGGGTCTGTTCTCTCCTTTATCACTGGGAACTTGCCACTCTCTCTGTCTGTGTTGAATCATCGTATATTCCTCTGCAGATGGGCCTCTTTAGAGATGGCTAAAATATGTTTTTCTGTTGCCACCGTCCACAGCAGTACATTGCTTTGCTGTTGTACCATTGCTCCTGTCTGTATATAATACACAATAACCATAGATAAGTACCTCATACAACTTAACTTCAAAAGACCCAAACTATCCCTTTAAGTGCAGCTGTTGATGTTCACGAAAAAAACAAAAATGCATGCAGATGGTTGGAGTCTGTAGCCAAACAGTGGTGTGACTTCTTGCTGTTGTGGGTTGCTGATATGACAAGCGAGTCAGCAGACCCATTTTTTCTCTACCTACATGCTTGTAATGTTTATTAATATTCACGGCTTATGTCAGTAAACCTGAATGTTGAGAAGTATGTGTGGAGTCACTAAAATCACAGTATTTCAGAGCAATTCAGAGTAATGAGATACAAATCAACATAAGCTATTCTTTGTGCATATCTTTCTTTCACATAATTTCTTATGTCTCAACTTAGTTCATCTGACATTGTTCTCTGCTTTGCATTTGCGAACATCACAGCCATGTTCTCTACTGGGCCTGGTTTTATACCCTGTGAATTGAAGCAGGATATATAAATAATTAGATGATGTGTGTATGAGACATGATGAGTGAGTAATTTCAGTATTTGATTTACAATTACATTGTTTTCAGACATTCTTTCCTCCTGGCTTTTATTTTTAAATATTTATTTTTAATCACCTATCTGCCTTTTTTGGTTCTTCATTATAAAACCTAAAAATTGAAAAGTAACGTTAATTATCAAAAAGTAAAATGTGAGAATAGTTTAATATGTTAACTACACGTGTTGGAACAAGAATGAATAATAATTCTAATCATTATTGGTAGTAAAACAGTAAGTAACATAAATTACATTAAAAACATGAACATTCAAATCAATTGTTTTTGTTATTAGTGTTATTAAACACTGACTGGATAATTGACCCTAACTGTTTGACTGTTTTTTTGTTATTTGCGGCTATATAAAGGTTTGATGTTAACGCCTATTCGCAGCAGATTGGTGAACATGAGGAGAAGGCTATCTGACCTGAGAGACACCATGAACAATTATTTCGACATGTTGCTGAACCAGCCCCAAGAACATCCACACCCAAACCAAGGAGGCGTTGTGGAAAGGTAGCCTATGTCATTTTAATATAACATGGATTGGGTTTATTGAAATTATGTGAACAGACACAGACCACAACCACCATGTGGAAATGGTAAGTAGGTAAATGCAGAGGTCGGACGTAAGTAGGTTTTAGTTGTAATGCATTTGAGGTGAATTATGGATTATTTTTATTTTGCATCATTGCGTTCCTTCCTCGATGTAAAGACTAATTTAAAACAAAATGGATGGGACAATAACACGTAGAAAAAACGACCTCGGTGCATATCATGCACGACAGATGAAAACAACATAAAAGACGGTTTAAAAGTGACTTTTTACCGTGAGAACATTTTATAGCCTGTAATTTGGACTTTTACCTGAGTAAAGAAGCTGAAGGACTCCTTATCATTTTACCGGAGTCTTTGTTTTAAACAGGTATTTTTACTTCTACTTAGTCACTATCACGGGTGTCGAACTCAATTTCATCGGGGGAAACATTAGCATTAAGGTTGCACTCAAAGGGCCAGTTGTAACTTTAAGACTGAAGTGCCAGGAAAAGGGAGTCGGAGGCGGTGTATTAAGAACAGAGTTCCAATCTTTATTAGCCATTAATAACAGAGAGGTTATCACATGAACTGCTCTGCTTGACGAGCTAGCAGGAATGGAAGCTAACGCTACAGGTGTTCCCACTAAAGGGTCCGTTTGGCAACACAATACGAGAGGTGAATTATGTCCAATAACGTGTCACCACACAAGCCCCCCCAGAATTCACATGTAGACAAAATCCGTATGGCGGGGAGGAACAATCCGCCTGCCCCCACGAGACCTGCGCACCGGAGTCGGCACAGCGACCTCCGCCCGTGCGGCCCCTGACAGAGGAGGGACCGGAACAACAGGTCCACACTCCCTCACAGGAATCAAAGCCGGGGGTCGGCCCCGTCCCGGCGGCCGAGCCAGCACCACCGGCCGGTCCACGTCCAAGTGAGCAGCCTTCACCCGGTCAACCGAGACGTGCTCAGCCTTACCGCCCATGTCGACCACCAGGTGTTTTTCACCGTGTTCCAAAACCCGGAAAGGTCCATCGTAAGGGGGCTGCAGGGGGCCTCTGTGTGCGTCGTGACGAATGAAGACGTGCCCAGCCGAGCGTAGCTCCGCGGGAACTTGAGACCCTTGGCGCACCGTGCTGAGTAGTCGGGACTGGAGCGAAAGCCTCCGCCGCGTCACGCAGAAAAACTCGCTGGGCCGTGGCAGACCAGGGAGCTGATGCATTTGGGAGGAAATCCCCCGGAACTCTCAGCGGCTGACCGTAGACCATCTCCGCTGTAGAACACTGCAGATCTTCCTTAGGTGCGGTCCTCAGGCCCAGTATCACCCAGGGCAGCTTGTCGACCCAGTTACCGTCCGTAAGGCCGGCCTTGAGGGCCGCCTTCATGGAGCGATGAAAGCGCTCGCAGAGGCCGTTAGCCTGAGGGTGGTAAACGGTAGTCCTGTGCAGCTTAACCCCCAAACCGCCTGCCACAGCGTTCCAGAGCTCGGACGTGAACTGAGAGCCCCTGTCTGAGGAAATGTCTGACGGGGGGGCCAAAACGACACACCCACTTTGCAATGAAGGCCCGGGCAACGTCTGCGGCTGATGTCGAAACGAGCGGAACCGCCTCCGGCCAACGGGTCGTTCTGTCCACCATGGTGAAGAGGTAGGAAAACCCCTGAGAGGAAGGCAACGGACCAACCAGGTCAATGTTGATGTGATCAAACCTCCTCTCAGGCACCAGGAAATGCTCCAACGGGGCCTTCGTGTGGCGGTGCACCTTAGCGCGTTGACAAGCCACGCACTCCCTGGCCCAAGTCCTCACATCCCTTTTCAGCCCATGCCAAACGAACTTCGCCGCTACCAAACGCACCGAAGGTTTAACGCCGGGGTGTGACAGGCCGTGCACAGCCTCGAACACAGGACGCCTCCAGCTGGCAGGGACGACAGGCCGTGCCAGGCCCGTAGAGACGTCACACAGGAGAGTAATGCCCGCGTCGCCGAACACCACGTCCTTCAAGCACAGCCCCGCGCTCTCCACCTTCAGAGCCTGGACGCCAGGATCTGTGACCTGGTCCACCGCCATGCGAGTATCGTCCAGGCCCAACTGGACGGCACCGATGACGACCCTGGAGAGGCAATCAGCAACCAAGTTCGACTTGCCAGCCACGTGCTTAATGTCCGTAGTGAACTCCGATATGTAGGACAGCTGCCGCTGCTGACGTGCCGACCAAGGCTCCGCCACTTTTGACATGGCGAAGGTGAGCGGCTTGTGGTCGACAAATGCCGTAAATTCACGGCCTTCCAGCATGAAACGGAAGTGCCGCACGGCCAAATAAAGTCAGAGGAGCTCCCGGTCAAAGGCGCTGTATTTGCGTTCTCTAGGCGTCAGCTGGCGGCTGAAAAAGGTGAGCGGCTGCCAAGCGCCCTCCACCCACTGCTCGTGCACTGCGCCGACCGCGTAGTCCGACGCGTCCGTGGTGATGGAGATGGGAGCCGTAGATGATGGGTGTGCCAGCAAAGCCGCCTGAGCCAACGCGGTCTTGACCTCAGCAAAAGCGCCGTCCGCCTCTGCTGTCCAGTCGATCTCCTGGACGGGGGTCTTGCCTTTCAACGCTTCATACAGCGGACGCATGATGTGTGTGGCCCGG